GCACCACCACAGTGTACAGTACAACAATGTTTCATCATTGATTGATTGTTTGTATTGATTCCTTCTTATTAATGAAATAGTTAGAGTTTTCTTTCTTTCATTGTTTCATTAGTAAATTAAAGTTATAAAAAAAATTATTATTAATCGTTAAAAAGTAGTCTGTTTGTGGCATGGGTTCTTAGTGTCATGGTTGCAATGTTGATGATTAAGATCCTAAATTTGTCTGAAAAAATTTCAGAGAATTTGATGATAGACTGGGAAGGCAGAGAATGAAGATGGATGAGAAAATTATGGTGTATCAACATAGAGGGAAACTAATGTGGGTGGGTCTGTTTGTGGCATGGGTTCTTAGTGTCATGGTTGCAATGTTGATGATTAAGATCCTAAATTTGTCTGAAAAAATTTCAGAGAATTTGATGATCAAATAGTGAAGAGTGCTGCTAAATGAACCCTAAAATTAACTGAGTACACCCCTTGATCTAAGTACACCCTAATATTTTAATCCAAATGTAAAATTAACTAAGTACACCCTATTTAACTACCAAAAATACCCTTAGTACACCCTAATACACTATCACACACAACATCCTTTTAAACAAATACTAACCATTAGATTAATCTAATGAATTCTAATAAGTCCACATCACCATAATTGTATTAACCTAAAACTCACTTACCATTTGCACCTTCTTAGCCAATACTTATGAAATAAAAAATAAAAAAATAAAAAGTTCCAGCAATAACTACCTCCTTCCCGACCCAGCCTCCTCACTGCCAGCCATGGCTAACACCGCTCACTCTCTCCACTATCAGCCATGGCCCCCGCCCCTCACTCTCTTTTCTTCTCTCACACACACCTTCCCACTTATGTCCTACAGTTGATAACCAATTACAGTACTAGTGGCAAATTATTAGTGATTAGAATTTGCTAAAATTATTCCCTATTGCAGAATTGATAAGCTTTATCCCATAGAAATCGAAATTGGATCCACTAGAGGGTGGTTTTGGAGTTAGGAGAGATTCCTAACGACGGCGGACTTAAATTCGTAGGCCTTGTTGAGAGTCTGTCATCCAAAATTCAGAGAGAGAGAGAGAGAAATAGAACCACATGGCTGGCTCGTACTGGGGTAAGTGGGTTGGGTCGGAAGGTGTTTATGTTTGATGAGATATTTATTTATTTATTTATATTTCAAAAGTATTGGATACAATGCAAATTGTGAGTTTTATGTCAGTACAATTTGATGATGTGGACTTATTAGAATTCATTAGATTAATCTAATGGTTAGTATTGACTTAAATGCGTATAAATGCACCGATGTTAAATGTAGAGGCTCGAAATCCGTGAGTAGGGTGTACTTATTAAAATTATATTTGTTTCATAATTCAATATATCCTTTTTGGTCATTTTATATTAGGGTAAATTAGTAATTCAATAAATAGTTTGACAGTAAGGTGTACTCAGTTAATTTTAGGGTTCGTTTAGCAGCACTCATAGTGAAATGTGTAATGTAATGAGTTTGGTACATTTGTGTCATTGCATAACTTCAATCCAAAGTTGGGTACATTTGTGCCATCTGCATAACTTGAATCCAAAGTTTGGTACATTTATGCCATTTGTGCCATTGTAATGTGTAAGTGTATAATAACATCACTTAAGATAAGAAATAATTTGACAATTGGATAACTTGATTCCAAAGTTTACATTAGTTCCAATTGCATACTCCAAATACATAACCAATTTCAATCAGAGTTCATGCTCAAAATATGCCCTCCAAATACAAAGTTCCAACCAATATCCAATGCTAGCCCTGGATAGCAAAAGATGGTTTCAAAACCTAACCCAAACATCAAACCTAACCAGCAAAACACCAAATTGTTCAAAACATCACTTTCAAATTCCCACCTAACCAAAAACTCAAGCAATTACACATCAAAAACTCCAACCTAACCAAAAACTCAAGCAATTACACATCATGATGTTTGGATTTAGGAACATAATCATGGTCTCCAAGGTCTAGCCTTCTTTGCATGAGATTTAAATCTGATACCGTGGCTTGAAACTGGCTGAGGAGAAGATTGGCCAATTTTGGGTGGTCTAATCCTCTTTGCATGAGATTTAAATCTTCTATGTGGGCTTGAAACTGGCTGAGGTGAAGATTGGCCAGTGTTTGGTGGTCTTAAAACTGGCTGAGATGATGATTGCACAATGTTTGGTGGTGTTGAAAAGGATGAATCTCCATCATTTGGGAGGGGTTGTGAAGCAACTGGTGTTTTCCTTCTTTCATTCCCATCTCCAACCTTCAACAACATATAGCAAAACAATATTAAAAACATAATTTGAAAACAAGAACTTATAAAACAATCAATAAGATGTCACACTTACTGATGAAGATCTAGGTTGTTTGCCCCCTTCCTCTACCACCACCCCTTATTGCACCTCTATGTACACCTCTTCCTCTGCCTCTTGCAGGCCTGCTTGGCCCATTAAATTGGTCCTACAATGAAAAAAACTTCTGGTCCCTTTTATTTCAACAAAGGCTTATTGGTTGGGAGGACTTAGGAGACATACATATGAACGGTATAATAATGTGGGATTTTGTAAACCTTATGATTATACTTGTGAACTTTTTATAATGTCATTTTTTTGAGTAGCCAAGATGAAACCTGTGCATACATCTTCATTCTTCTATGCAACACAAAAGGCAACAGACATCACATATCATGTCTTATTTTGCACTCGTTTTGTGAATGCTTAGTGTTAAAAGAAAATAGAGTTAGAGAGATGAAATGAGATGTATCATATCACTCATAATAAAGAAAGTTTGATTTCGACCTAAGGAGTGTAACGAAGTGTTTCATGCTACATTTTGTTTTGCACAAACAAGGTCTTGTGTGACTAATGAATTGTATTGTCGATGACCTTATTGTAATAAATGCTTCCAATTAATGAACTTTACTTCTTTTCCATTAAAAAAAAAAATGAAACCACACATACATATATCATTAACGCAAAAGATAGTTTAGTGGTGAACTTCTGGCTAAATACGAGGTGGTCCCAGGCTCAAACTTCGTTAGTTCAAAGCACAGCTGCTTCTTTTTTTTCCTTCAAAATCCAATTATAATATAAAAAACTTTGACTCGAAGATTAATAAAAACACATAAAAACAATTGAGTCAATTGATTAATATCATGGTCATTAAATAAAGAAAAAAGATTTAATTTAAACGCATTTCTTTCACCTTGCCATTCTCCAATGCTTCCACCATAGAAAAATTCTCATCCAGACTCCAGAGGGAGGTTTCGTCTTTTCAAACACCTACCTGCCTAATAAGAATTAGTATAATGAATGAAGCAATAGGTCAAAGCGACAACATCTACTTTAGGTGAACTGAATGCCAGTATCAATACAAACAAAACAGTAAAATAGCGAGTATCAATAATTTCAAATTTAAGAATATGTAACATACATGTGAACTGAATTGTAGCAAAGATATATAAACCTCCTGTAGCATCAAGATAGCCAAACAAACATCGCAAATCTATTCAGGAATTAAATCATATACTTTAAATTACACTCATTCAAAAAATAAATCCAACGGAAAAAGTTAATCATTATAGACCAATTAGTCTATATTGTTGTATGAAAACACTCCAAGACCTTGTCATTGATGGACTACGCAACTGGCACACACACAAACTACACGAGAATAAATCAAGCACGCACCCAAAGAATAAAGCAAACACACATAGAACACAAGAATTTAGCGAGATTCGGCGTTGTGCCTACGTCCTCTTGCGAGAAATTCACTAGCATGTAAGAACACTTTTTGTTACAATCAAGGACCCCTTAGCTCTCACAAGAACCCTTGCTCTCTTTTCTCTTACCCGTCTCAAAACCAATTTGATGCCCTTGTTTTATCTCACCCTCTGTGAGTCGTAAAGGAAAACTCCATATAGGGGGAGGAGGAAGAAGCGTCACTCCCATAATATTAAAATGCTCCTAAACAATTTTCAATCTACCTCATAGCAAAAGGTCAATCTTCACAGAGAAAATCTACTATTTATTTTTCGTATCATGTTGATAGAGGAATTAAAGACCATATTACTAGTATATTAGATATTCCTCATAAAATACATTTGGAAAATATTTTGGAATTCCTAATATAGTTAAATGGAAAGATCTGGCTAATACACAAGAATTACTTACAAAAATTACCAAAAACTTTTCAGGTTGGAAATCTAATCTATTATCTAGAGCAGGAAAGTTAATTCTAATTAATTCCCAAATTTCAAGTATGCCCCAATTCCTAATGCATGCTTTCCTTGTTTAAAAAAATGTTATTAATAGAATGGAAAATCTGGCAAGGAGCTTTTTTTGCGGACTGCTACTAAAATTCCGCCTATTGCATGGAATACTATTTGCAACCAAAAGACCTTGGTTGGCTTGGATTAAGAAAACAACAATTGGTTAATATTAAATTTTGGAATTTCAATTGGGTCTTGTTAAACAAATCTTAAAATTAACTGCGCACACCTTATGATCTAAGTATATCATAATATTTAAATTAAAATATAAAATTAACTAAGTACACCCTATATAACTGCCAAAAATACCCTTTTTTGAGAGCGAGACCTCTTCCTTCTTTTGCCGTGTCTTCCACTAAAGACAGACCAATAATTAACAGAGCTTTTGCCGTCATCTTTTCTGGTTAACGGTAATTCAAGCCGTGTCTTCCACTAAAGACAGACCAATAATGATGGCTTCAAAGGAATTCTTTACCTCAGGTAATACATACCATTATTCAGTATATATAAAGGAAATAATTTAAATTTCTATTACTGAAATAAACAGAATTTTAGCTAACAAATGCTAATTAAGGCATTAGCCTAAGTGAGAAGACGGTGAATCAAGATAGAACAAACAGAAACCACCTGATCAAGATCCCAAACCTTCTAAAACCAATAACTAATATATATTGCATGTACCGGAAACGAAATTGAACTCTACATTCATCAGTTTGTGCAGCAGCAAACTGAACCATGATAATTATATATAGTAAACAAGGATCATTAATTCAATATCCCTAACAAAAACAAAAGATAGCAATATCAACTGTGAACAAAAGATGGCAGTAAAATGCCTCAATAATATCTAATCAAAGACGTACGGATGCCCTGCTCTGCTCCTCAGGTACTTACATTACAGGTTGTTTTCTACTACCTAATCCCCCCTTCTTTTTTTTGGTTACATGTAATCCCTCTTTCCATCCGCCTTTCCTTTTTCTTTTGTTTTTAATTATTCCATTTGCATTCTTGGGTTTTTTCTGGTTTGCTTTTTCATGATGCATGAAGGCTACTTCATGTTTGGCTTCTTTCTGCAAAACCCAATTATATTATGTGAGAAACTAGACCCAAAGGCTAATAAAAACACTTATAGAAATGCAAACAATTGAGTCTCTTGATTCGTGGTCATTAAAGGAAAAAAAACAATTTCATGTAAACATATTTCTTTTACCTCATGCATCAAAGAATTCTCATCCAAAGTGGTGTCATCTTCTTGTTTTGGCTGCTTCATGCTTGCTGCACTCTTACCTTCTACGGGTTCATAATCCCCGCACTCTCTGAGAGTCATAATCATCGTAAACAACAAAATCCAACATACAAATTAATGTTATTGATAAAAACAAGAGGAATGTGAAGAAAACTTACGGAGTAAAGCCGAGCGTAAGCATGAACCAATTACAAACATCGATTTTCACAGGAAGAACAGTTGAATGTAAGGTCTCGATCATATGTCTTCTTCCTTCTTGAACAATTTGAAATGTGGTGATACAAAGATCTTGAACCTTATCACATTCTTCGTTAGTGCCAGTCTTAAAATGAACGAAGTCTTGGTTTCCCAGATGAACCAAATAGTCGGTTACAAGTCCATCAAATTGCGATGGCGGATCTGCAATGTCAAGGCCGTTTAATTCAGATAGCTGGACTAGTGAATATTCAATACCACCCTCATCATCTTCTTTAATCTCCAAGGAGTATGCTATGATCGCCTCCACCTGAAACATATGTAAGGCATAGATAGTCTTGCCTACAATCACGGCCCTCCCTCGGAAAGGAGTACAAGTGCCAATTTCCACTCGTTTCCAATTCTTTCTACCCACGTGAAAAGCAAGGACATCAAAGTTTCCGTGCAAGTCAGACAATGTATACAAAATAATGCCAAAACCAACGGCATAACCAGTTACCCCCATACGAAATGTATGAGAAAATGGAAACGAAGGCATTTGCACCCAATCCTTGCACCCAAATGGGTAGAACCACTGAACTTGGCTACACGTGCTACTCGTGCACCCATATCATCAACTTCTCCTCCAAATCTGAATTTAACTTCATATATGGCATTAGTGTATTTGCCCCTAATGAAAGTTACCATTAAAAACAAAGATCTATCTTCCCCTTGATTTACCGTGGTTGATGCATTCTCAACCATGGGCAAGCTAGACAGAGGAGAGATATACAAAATAAGTCAAATTAATCTTTCCAAAAAACTTCCAGACCTAGAGAGAATTAATGAATGAAGCCAAAGCTACACAATCAACATAGCAAGATAAATATTTTATATTATATAATATATATATATATATAAAACAGCGATGCAAATGGGAAACAAAAATTAAGAAGACGAAATCCACTAGTAAGCCATGCACTGACCTTGGGTAAGGACGAACGGGCAAGGTAAACATTTTATGTTAAATATATAAAGAAAAAACAGCGATGAACAAAAATTAAGAAGATGAAATCCACTATTAAGCCATGCACTGACCCATGTTTGCGACTGTCGGCCCTACTGCGGCGTAGTAGGCGAAGCTCCTTCGAAATTAATTTCTTCAAATCGATCAGTTGGATTTTCTGGGCCAAAAGCGCGGCTAGATATTTCTCCTTCTCCCCCAGTTCGCGCAGAGACTTCTCCATCGCCCATATCTTGCGCAGAGATTTCTTGATCTTCGATGTCTTGGCAAGGAGCTCATCCTGGCATGAAGCCGTCGTCAAGGCATGGTCTTGACCCGAGGTGAGCTCAGCGGCCATGATATTGGAATGCTAAACTGAGGCAAAAGGGAATTTAGGGTTGGTTGTGGGTATGAAATATAAGCTAAAGCGTGGAATTAATTCAATTGATCGATATGCTTTCCATTCATCCGTAAAGTCATGTATACGTATAATGACCTAATTAATCTTGATAGGAGCAGGAAACCTTTTTTAAAATATTATTTTTATTTTAAGGAAGAATCAGGAAACTTTTATTAATATTATTTTAATGAAGGAAGAAACAGGAACCCTTTTATTTTTGACCAAATAAAACACAGCAAACTTTTTTTTGGTTTTTTTTAGAGAGAAAACAGGAAACTTTTAATTGTTTTTGAATATGCGTATGGTATATATATGTACGACTTACTTTTCTACTTGGTTCCCGTTTTAAAATTCCTAGTGTTACCTGTTTGTTTATTTGTTACCCTTTTCATGATTTTTTTGGGGTTTCCTTGTGAGATTGGGTTTTAGGGCCAATTGAGGAAGTGGTTTAGTTCAAAGCCTTATATAATTTACCTTCTTCTTTGATTTTATTGCTTCACTCATTAATCAAAGGTGCTCATGGACTGGATCTCTCTCTGACTCCATCGTTTTTGCTTCATTGTCCAAGATAATCAAAGGTTACATCATCCCATGCTTTCTCAGTTATATTTTAGTTTTTGTTTTCTTTTCTTTTGAACATTGTAGTAGTATTTTTTCTATTTGATTATGTTTGTGCCTGATAAATCACGGCCATAAGTTGGCCGAAGGAGCCCCTTCTCTCGGCCCTGACACTTGTTTGTAAAAGCTGAAACGCAGCGTTTCGCCAGGGTACTTCGCCTTCCTAAAGACAAAAGAAGAAATGCTAAGGCATGATCATCTCGGCCTCAAGCGCAGGCCGAGGCCGAGGCCGAGGCCAAGCAAAATCGCGGCCAGAAATATTAAAGTCAGATCATCACGTGATAGCAGGGACCCAGGCTTCATTTAATGAAGTAGTGCCTGTTTAATGCAGCAAACCCACTGGCCACAAAGAAGCATTTAATGCATGAGGGAAGGTGGGAAGTGACTGAAGTCAGAATTTGGTGATGAGGATCAGAGTGATTAGACGTGGACATTCTCACAAGAATTCTGACAGCCTGAGATATTGGTTCACCAGCTATCCAGGCCATAAATGCGTCTCCACGG